TGAACCTCATGAGGTTCACACAGGCCCACCTCTCCAGCCTGTCCAGGTCTCTTTGGATGACATCCCTTCCTTCTGGAGCATCATCTGCTGGAAGACGAAAAGCAAGACCTACCATTGATGTAGAGGACAGCCCTCTTTGCTGGGGTGGGCTCACATGAGAAACTGCTCTGCAATAAGTGTGTTAGGAACACCGGTGCTCACTTCTGCAGTGGTACGTACCTAAGATCCAAGTCTCTATCAGGTGCCTATGGCAAGTATCATTTTCCAGCCCCAGGAACATTGGCTTTGGGGACAGCGAGGTGGATTCTTACAGCCCAGCATGGGTACAGTTATTCACCCCAGCAATACAGGATCAGCCACGCTGACAGCTAACGGTAGCAATAACAAAAAGGCGGTTAATGGATATCTCTAAAAGCAGCATTGGGAAAAAAAAAAAAACCAAAAACCAAAATGTAAAATATTTGACCATTTCTGGCTTTGGCCCTGATTGCCTTTAGGGCTACTGACTAGGAGTAATCCCACCAAATAACCCCAGACCTGGCCAAGTCACGAGGGCAGCATCAAACTCTTCGCAGTAACTTGGGTTTATGAAAGAGTCGGCGGCGCTGAACCCATCTTTTATGAGAGCGGAAGGGCGTTCTCGGAGCAACGGCGGGGTTTGGAGCATATCGAAGCATTGTGTGGAGCCCACGGTGAAAGAAAAGCCATCAGGCATCTGCCTGCCCTCTTTCCTTTATCCTTTTTTCTTAGAGAAAGGCTGCTGCTCGTTGTAAAAGGCTGCCTTTGGAAGAACCATGATTTAATGTCTTCTTTTAATGGAATGTAAAGCAGTTCTAGGGCCTCTCCGCTGTTTAGAAAAAAGAAGACTAGGAAAAAAATGTAGAACTTAATGCCAATTTTCACGAGATTATTATTTGACAGAAGGGATCAGGAGAGATTATTAAATGCTTTGTGTGTGCTGAAAATACTGAGACCTTAAGCACATTAGAGTGCCTGTCAGAAATATTGCGGGAGAATGAAAAGGAAAGCTGGGCGAAGGAAATAAAAATATTTTCAATATATATATACGCTGCATCTAAACCTGAAATCGCTTGCGATCAAAGGCTGGCTGTGTTTTGTTGATGGCATCTCTGGGTGCCTGGATCCAGTGCCCAGCTCTGCCATCCCTGTTCTACGGGAGGGGGACGGAGCCGGGGAGCGCGGGGTCAGGCTCTCGCCTTTCCGTGCACGCTTACAGCTTCCCAAAAGAGAGGTGGGAGTGTGAAACCGCCTTGTACCGGGGCCGTAACTTTGGGGAGAGCCTGTTCCAGCCGCTGTAATTCCATTACCTGTGCGGTGGGTTTGACCCTGGCTGGATGCCAAGGACCCACCAAAGCCGCTCGATCGCTCCCCTCTTTAACCGGACAGAGGAAAGAAGAGTAAATCAAAAGGCTCATGGGTCGAGGTAAGGACAGGGAGAGATCATTCCCCAGTTACCATCATGGGCAAAACAGACTCAACTTGATAAAATTAATTTATTATCAATGAAAATCAGAAACAGAGAGGATAAAAACTGCTGAATCTTAAAACACCTTCCCCCCACCCCTCCCTTCTTCCTGGGCT